AGTCTGTTGAGTCTATCAGGTAGAATATCATTAAAAAACACTAAACCCATGTGGGGCATTCTGAGTTATATACCCAGTAAAGTGTATGACAGAACTGTTATTGGTAAGTGATGGAAGAAAATAAAATAAAATAAGATAAGATAGGCTTTATTCAGGAAATCTACAACAGCACAGAGTGGATTTAAAAAGAGAAGTTGATGTATGGATTGAATGTTGCACTCAACCACAATAAGTAAGTAAGTAAATTTATTCAGGTATACACAAATACAGTTACATAGAATTATCATACATAGCAGCATATGTGAATATACTGAATACTACTTAGATAAACATGTGAGAGTTTTTGTAATGATGGATTTGGAGTGGATAGGGAAGCAATGTAGTAAGCATTGCAAAGATATGCCATAGTTGTTGAAAGTTGTAAAATGTTGTTATGAAGAGATCCAGGCTCAGGTCAGGGTGCGTAGATAACCACTGGAATATATTTTATTATTATAGTCGAAGAAAGTGCTAAACTTTGTGTGGAAGTAAGTCATTGTTGTACTATGAAGGTGAGATGGTAGAGGGAGGGGGAGAGAAAGGCAAAGGGAATGAGGAAAAGTTGCTGGAAGAAAGGGTAGTGGGGAAAAAGCCACAGTTGATGTAGCAAATTGATGTCATTTAAGATATCATAGCATTTGCCTTAATGGTGGGACTGTCAGATAGGGAGGACAGACAGAGTTAGCTTTCATGTCTAGTTCTTAAGTACTTTTAAACATTAGGATTAGTTTCTGCGAAATGCATTGCATACTGGTGGCTTTCATCTGCCTAACAATACTGTATTTTATTACATGTAAACTACATTATCTGTGTATGTACTGCATAAAAGAAATAAATATTTGAATGTGAATTCTGAATTTGAAGAAGGCACCTGTAATGAAGTTGGCATGCTCTTTGTTAAAAGGGGCAAAAAATATATTGGCGTGTCAGTCTGACCTAACAATTCTTGCACAATGGCACTGAGTGCCAGTACTTCCTAGTATATGAGTTTTAGACAAGAGCATGTGAAGTTTACCATGATTACTGATGTGGTTGCAAAGGAATAGAAGTCAAGTCTTAAAAGATAAGCAGGAATTATCACTGTAAAATATGGGAGTTGTTACACTGGTTTTGTTAGTGACAGCACATAGCTGCTGGAAAACTGAGAAGAGAAGCAGTGGAAGTTGGTAGAGTTTAGGAGGGTTTGGAAATGAATATTGAAAGAGAGTAAGGTAAGATTTGTTTGAAGTTTTAACCTGGAGTGTTAGCCACTCAGGATAACTCAAGAAGATCAGTACATCATCGAGGATTGGCTGTCTTATTTCCATTGTGGTCCTTCAATCTTGTCCCCCAGGACGCGACCTTCACCAGTCGTCTGACACCCAGGTACCTACTTACTGCTAGGTGAACAGGGACAGCAGGTGTAAGGAAACATGCCCAATGTTCCTCCCCACTGGGGATTGAACCACAGACACTCAGTGTGAGGGGCAAGAGCTTTGCCTACCAAGCCACAGAAGTACAGCATAGGCAGGGGCATCAGTGTTTGTTGACTAGTCGGTCACATAACTATAAATCCATATTATTTGTTGGTGAGCTGCAGAATTTATTGATAAAAAAAAAGATGAATTTTAGTATGTTATTATAAATATATTTTTAGCAGTAATAAAATTTTAAGTTTAACTGACTGTATTAGAAGTTATACACCTAAAATTAGGCAGCAAAAATTTTAATCGAGTCAGTGAGAATACTGGTACAGTATCTAACATCTTGAACTCTTCTCCAGAGTTATGGTGTGTATTCAGTCAAGGCACATGTTGATTCTGACTCCTGGTTTACAAACCAGTAGTAGCAGGCAGTTAGTTATTCCCTACTACCCTAATAGTTCATGTGTGCTAGCTAACTAGGTAAATTTTTTTACTAAAGCTCTTAAGCTTGCTGAACACCACAGTCAAGTAGATCACATTTTGACCAGAGGCCACACGTTGGATGCCTCTGGTACAGTACACAACCCGCATGTAGGAGAAAGAAACTTATGACAACATTTCGGTCTGACTTGGACAGCTAATTGATTCAAGTCAAACTGAAACACTGTCATAAGTTTCTTTCTTCTACATGCGGGTTATATGTGTAATGTTCCAGTCACGGTACTGTGTCGTTTTGTTTTCCCTGGTACATGTATAAGGAATGAAAGACTAAAGGCCAGCTTGGAATGAAGGAAAATGATGGAACTGAATATATTTAGTTACTTGGGAGTGGGTGTATCTGTAGAATGGTCCATGAATTATAGTGTCCATCACAGGGTAGATGTGGCAAAGAAGGTTGCAAGAACTGTCGAGGAATTTATAAAAAAAAATATTGTCAATGGATGTACAAAAGCACAGTTGTGCTGACACTTTTATATGGATACACAGCATGCTAGTGGTTTTCTTTTGTGCCTAACAATATTTTTTATTACATGTAAAATACATAATCTGAAATACTGCAGAAGAGAAATAAATTATTTGTATTTGTAGGTAAGTATCATAGCTAGGAGGAAGTTGGAGGCAGTGGAGATGTCATGTCTGAGATCATTAAGTGGTGTGAATATCATGCAGAAAATAAGATATAAATTTTAAAGATAGTGTGGTGGTACAAAAGCCATAATTCAGAAAGCAGAGGATGGGTTGTTGAGATGGTTTGGTCATGAAAAAGGCCAGAACAAGATACATATAAATCTAGGGGCCATGTGTGTCATAAAAGGCGACTAAACTGCTGGTGTGTTGAAAGAAAGAAAGATCAATCTAGGGCAACTAGGTGTAGGGAATGCCCAAGGGAAACAGTTGGAAGAAGGGTTAGAAAGAAGGTATGAAGGAGGTAGGGGGCTTGAATATCCAGCACAAATGTAATGGAGTAGATAGGACAGCGTATTAAAACGACGGAACGGGAGTGGTTTGAACCCACCCGTCCCACGATTTGTTTGTAATTGTTATTACGATTTCGTGAGTCATAATTGCCATATTGACATCAGGTATTTAAAAAAAAAAAACAGGTTACAGAGCAAACTTTTATTGGCACAACATTTCGCTTTATGAAGAGCTTTATTATGTCATGACTTAATAAAGCTCTACACACAGAAACATTGTCTCAATATAAGTCTTTTTTCTGCTTGCCTCTTTATCTTCATATGTATGAAGAGTAGATGCAAATGGTGCTTTCAGAGTCGATGTGCTGTTGGAGTGTTACCTTGATAATGGCTATAATGAGATTCAGGGAATTCAGTTAGTAGGGCTTAGAGTTTTGGTGGTGGGAGGTACAGTGCCTGCACTATAGAAGTGGATCATTGGATCAGCACTGGATCATGATGTCTGTGTCATATTATACCTAGGGAGCAAGTGATGGTAAATTTTTCCTTCTATGAGGATCCTGTCTTGGTGGAAAATAACCACTGAAAAATTTACAGGAAAACTCACAGCAGAGTTTGACAATAAAATTCAATATAACTAATAGGAATTTGTAAATCAAAATAAGACTATAACATTAAAAAATTCAGAATAATACTCTTACATTTCACAAAAATAAAACTTGTTTAAAAGTAGTATAAAACAATTTCTTTTGGTTCAGTGGCTTTTCCATGCCTCAATCTCATTTGTTTAACACACTGGTCATCTCCCACCATGACAGGGTGACCTGAAAAAGAAACACTTTCACCATCATTCACACTGTCACTATCTTTCCAGAGATCTGTAGATACAACAGTTCAGATGTCCCTCCAAACAGCAATTACCTACCATCCGACTTACGAACTGCTTGACATATGACCACGTTTTGTATGCAGATGTTCTGGGAAATAAACAACTGTTTGTGTTTTACACAGTGTTTCTCCAAAACCTTACAGTATAAAATACAGTACTAACAGCATAAAAAGTAAAGAAAAAATTAAATACCAAAATAAAACAGTAAAATAAAATCATTACTTAATGTGATGCTAATATTCAGTAGTAAGGTTCGACTTACGTCCATTTTGACTTACGATCAGTTAGTCGGATGGTAGGTGTACAGTAGAACCCCCATATCCGTGGATTTTGTTTCCGTAGTTTCAGTTCCCAGTAAAAGTAGGCCTTAGACAAGGATGTGTGATGTCACCGTGGTTGTTTAATATATTTATAGATGGGGTTGTAAGAGAAGTAAATGCGAGGGTCTTGGCAAGAGGCGTGGAGTTAAAAGATAAAGAATCACACACAAAGTGGGAGTTGTCACAGCTGCTCTTTGCCGATGACACTGTGCTCTTGGGAGATTCTGAAGAGAAGTTGCAGAGATTGGTGGATGAATTTGGTAGGGTGTGCAAAAGAAGAAAATTAAAGGTGAATACAGGAAAGAGTAAGGTTATGAGGATAACAAAAAGATTAGGTGATGAAAGATTGAATATCAGATTGGAGGGAGAGAGTATGGAGGAGGTGAACGTATTCAGATATTTGGGAGTGGACGTGTCAGCGGATGGGTCTATGAAAGATGAGGTGAATCATAGAATTGATGAGGGAAAAAGAGTGAGTGGTGCACTTAGGAGTCTGTGGAGACAAAGAACTTTGTCCTTGGAGGCAAAGAGGGGAATGTATGAGAGTATAGTTTTACCAACGCTCTTATATGGGTGTGAAGCGTGGGTGATGAATGTTGCAGCGAGGAGAAGGCTGGAGGCAGTGGAGATGTCATGTCTGAGGGCAATGTGTGGTGTGAATATAATGCAGAGAATTCGTAGTTTGGAAGTTAGGAGGAGGTGCGGGATTACCAAAACTGTTGTCCAGAGGGCTGAGGAAGGGTTGTTGAGGTGGTTCGGACATGTAGAGAGAATGGAGCGAAACAGAATGACTTCAAGAGTGTATCAGTCTGTAGTGGAAGGAAGGCGGGGTAGGGGTCGGCCTAGGAAGGGTTGGAGGGAGGGGGTAAAGGAGGTTTTGTGTGCGAGGGGCTTGGACTTCCAGCAGGCATGCGTGAGCGTGTTTGATAGGAGTGAATGGAGACAAATGGTTTTTAATACTTGACGTGCTGTTGGAGTGTGAGCAAAGTAACATTTATGAAGGGATTCAGGGAAACCGGCAGGCCGGACTTGAGTCCTGGAGATGGGAAGTACAGTGCCTGCACTCTGAAGGAGGGGTGTTAATGTTGCAGTTTAAAAACTGTAGTGTAAAGCACCCTTCTGGCAAGACAGTGATGGAGTGAATGATGGTGAAAGTTTTTCTTTTTCGGGCCACCCTGCCTTGGTGGGAATCGGCCGGTGTGATAATAAAAAATAATAATAGTTTCAGTTATCCGCTGTTTACTGTGGTCCAAAAGTAACCCTTAATTTTGCTTAATAATGGCCCCAGAGTGCAAAAGTAGTGATACTGGCAGTTCTTCAAAGACTAACAGAAGCTGTGCAGTGCTTCCCATCAGTGACAAAATGCTAACTCTTGTCTTATTGTGCATAATTTATCAATTTAGCTTTACCATAGGTATGTATGTAAATAAAAAATGACTTATATATGTACAGTAGACCATCATTTAGCATGAGTTTATTTGGCACAATTTGTGTATAGCACGAATGAAGAATTGTGGCACAATTTTATGTAACACATTGTAAAATTAATTTAACACAGGTTCGGGAAGGAAAAAAAAAATTCCCTTTTCCTCAAGCTGCCGCCTTGTTGTGGATCAGCCAGGGAGACCTCCTGCCATCCCCTGCCAACATCCCTGACACCACCCCACCATTTGTATTTTCATACATGTCCAGTCTTTCTCTGCTACAAGCTAGCTGTGCTTGTGAATTGTGTTTTGATCTTTTAATTACTATATCTTCTATCTGCCAAGCACTCAAGACACCCAGTAGGCATACCAGTGTTGCTGAAAGTGGCAAGAAAAGGTATAAGCATTTAAGTCTTAGAATTAACGAAGGAAGCAAAGATATTAGACAAAAGATAACCTTAATGAAGTGTTACTTTGTATGCATAAAAAGAGGTAAACATGAGTTTGTGTGAATGACTTACTGAATGACTTACTGACTTGACTGAATGGCTTACTGACTTGACTGATTGACTTATTGACTTACTGACTCAACTGAATGACTTACTGACTTGATTGAATGACTTACTGACTTGGCTGAATTACTCACTGACTTGACTGAATGACTTACTGACTTGACTGAATGACTTGACTAACTGACTGACTTGACTGAATGACTTAAAGTTAGACACTCCAGTACAACCAGCAACTTCAGTACCAGAACCTCTACCATCCACCTCAGCCCAGTAGGGCCACAGCATAACTCTCCACTCTAATCACAATCATACACAAACACCAGCACCCACAATTTAAGGTAAGAAATACTATTATTTCTCTTACAGTTGTAGTCTTAACCTGTAAAAACAACATAATACATCACAACAATGAACTACAATTCCATATTCACTTTTATTTTTGTAAGATGTGGATGCCTAAAAAAAAAATTGTTTGACTTTTTTGGAGCTCCCAGGAACGTAACCCTATTTTTCCCGTAAGTTCTTCAGTTCATCTAACACGGTTTTTTTACCTAACACGCCATTTTCAGGAACTTAACTACCGTGTTAAATGACGGTCTACTGTATGTAACAAAAAGCTCGGCATGGCCGACGCAGCAAGGCGTGTGGCGGGCTGTCTGCGGGATTTTCAAGGATAGCTCCTGATCAAAGAGGCTGACCAGATTACAACTGAACAGGACTCAGTGTGAGTGCTTTGGGAAAAGTCCAGAGAAGCGAGAGGACATCCCAGTGCATCGTTTCAGCGTAGTGGAAGTGTTGTACAGTTTGTGAGGGTTGGGTGTGGTGTTGAGAATGCCCAGGTCGGGACCAGTCAGTGCCTCTTCCCCCACACCACCAGGGGGAGGGGGTGGGGTGTGTGGGTGAAGATAAAGGGAACACTGGTTTTGGGGAGTCACATGCCCAAATCTTTCATAATATGCATGGGAAACAAATAAATGTTGTGTTTGTTGTAGGCAGGACAGTGTGAACAACAGTGCGCAGTCAGTGTATAGGGAAGTGCCCCTCAACCCCCTTCCCCAGGCTTGCCCTGTGTGTAGGAAACAGTGACCCTCTCATAACCCCTCACCCCTGCACCTCAACCATACAACTCCCCTGCCTCACCCACCCAACTCCCAGCACTACCCCAACTGTAGAGGGTACTTTTCCCCTCCCAGCCCACGATGTCAGCAATGGCACAGGGTGTGCCGGGCTCACGGGAACTTCCACTGCAGAGACAGCGCTGTGGAGTTCGACCGTGAGGCATCTGTCAGGTGTGCCACAGGCAATGTGCACTCAGTTCCTCAAGCTTCAACATCTGTGCCCACGGTGGATGTCTGGGCACCCGGAGGGCTCCAGGAGGGAACAACCAACAGCCCCACCCACCTTCACCTTTACAGAGGGCCTGGGATCTGCAATCAAACTGGCGTCCACCAGGACGCTGACACATCCCCAGGGCAGCTCTCCCTCAAGCTGCTAGTGGAGTCACTGACCTTTTGGGGAGGGTTATTGGTGGTCCTGCAAGCAGCAGATCCTGGCGCAACTTGCTGCTGTTTGCAATGGCTGTCTGGCTGTCCTGCCAAGGAGGGACAGGCACCTAGCAACATCTGTTGTTGGGGCAATGATGCATTCCCCAGAATATTTGTTAATTGCTCATTACTCTGTAATTTGTTCATGACTGTAACCATGTATGGACTTATTTATGGTTCATTACCTTTGTAACTTGTCATGAGTGTGACCAGCTCTACCTGGAGCTCATTACCTTTGTAACTTGTCATGATTGTGACCAGATCTAATTCATTACCTTTGTAACTTGTTCAGCTATTAAAACTTTGGAGTCCAGTCCCTGGACCAATTATGTACCTCTGTAATCTTTTGACTACTGCCCACAGGATGGGCATGGGGTGAATAATAAAGATATTAAACTAAACGAACTACCGTATGTAAATAAAAAAACAACTTTTATACCCTGCAGATACGGGGAGGAATACTGTATCCTAACTCCCTAAGTCAATATTTTTATGAAGTTGATTGTAATCTGATTAGAGTGATATATTAGAGACATATGGTTTCTGAAGCACAAAATGAGCCCAAAACCAAAAGGAATTTTTTTATACCTGTTTAATTTTGTATAAATGACAATTTTTAGTTTTCAGAGACCTCTAGGAACACAGCCTGTGAATTTGTAGGAACAATGTATAACCCAACATAGGGAGAAACGTCTACCACTTGTGTTTTACATTCCTAGTTTGTCACTATATAGAAATTTAATGTTAGAAATAGTTAATATTGAAAATAATTAATAAATAGAAATTTCTGAATAATAATAGAGTACACAGAAGTAATAACTTGGAGTAATATGAGTTATGTACAAATATTATTCAACACATTATTACATTGTCCCATAATTATGACATTATTTTTATACATAAATCATTTTCCTCTACAAATGAAAAAGAACATTTGTGTAAATTATGAAATATAAGCAGAGGAACTTGTATGTATATCTTCCTCAAAGTTTAATGCTGCACAAAATACATAAATTATTTGTTATTCTGAGAAATAAAGCAAAAACTGACACATATAGGTGTTGCCCAGCACATATAACCTTTTTTTATAATTTCAAGAGTAATTGTTATCAATGTTATAGATAATAGTTATTTTCCTCTAGCATACCTAACTCTTCTTATAATCAATGATTTACAAAGAAGATTTATTTAACTATGTGTATAGTTATATTAAAACAAAAGTTGCTATTGTAACAACATAATATAGGAAACATTAAATGAGAATACATATATTATATATATTTTTTGGCAATTGTTGAAGGCACAGCTTCAGTCAGACCTGTGAGAGGTCTCCCCGAGATAATACACCGTTCAGGTGCTCCTTGACTTACCATATTTTGACTACGATGGTGCGAAAGCAATTACTTTGGAGATGAAACAGATAATTACCCAGCATGAAGGAGGCAAATCTATAACTTGTATTCACTTATTTACTTTTCAATACTGATATTTAGTTACAGTAATTATTTGTTCATTTACTTATTCAGTGACAGTAGTTATTTATTTACTTATTTAGCATTTCATGTTCGACTTGCAAAATTTTCAAATTACGATGGGTTTGTTGGAATGTAACCCCATCATAACCTGAGGAGCACTTGTACTCTTAAAGGCCAGCCAGAGTGCAGGTACAGCCTGGTGAGCTGGATCCCAATGGTCTACTGCTGAAAAGATACACTGTTATACAAAGCTTTATTGGGACAAAGTTTTGCTCTACTTAGAGCTTTATCAAGTCATTGTATGATTTGATAAAGAGATAACAGTGAACATTTATCCCCAAAAAACTTGGTGTGCAATGCGTCTTTTCTTCACAACAGTCTCGTAAACCAGGCTGTTGCTGGCAGCAGCCCAGAGGCCTACACAGTCTGGCTGATCTGGCACTTTTTTGCAGGTGTTGGTTCAGTCAGATCTTGAAAACTTCTTTGTTCCAGCACATTTTGCATCCATGGGTCACATATTAATGGGTTATCACTCCTAACCACACATTTATGCTATCAGTATTAACATACTTAAGGTAGGCAATGTTTTATGTAGCAACAATACACACACCAGTCTTAAGTAGGTTGCAAACTTGGAGAAGTGTATATATACTGAATAGATACCTGGAGTATGGGAAGGTAAATGGGTCTCAGTGCACACGTAACAATCCAAGCTCTGATATTCACATCATAATTTTTTAATATTCCTCTTTGGCCTCGTAACCCTATCAAAATTGTGGCCAAACTTCCATGCCTCTCTCGCTAAGGAGACTGGCGCTTACAGATTTAAGTCACTCTCATCCTCACCATCTTTGACAAATCAATATTCTTTCCTCTCTCAAGAATTGTTGGATCTCCCGACGCAGCTGCCTCTCGTTGCTTCTGAAGCTGATACAGTTGAATAGATTTTTCCCTGATGGATCCCTCAATGGATGGCAGAGGAAGCTCTGTAATTGTTGCTCCACTCTCTTTTGCTGCAGCCTTCAACTTCTCTCTTTCTGCTTCAATTTCTTTATACTTCTTCAGAAGACCAACAGCCCACTGTTTTGTAAAGAGGTAGAATTAATTATAAGATGCATAAAGCTTACAAAGCTTTCTGTATGTATAATTGATAAGGTAATCCTGCTGCTGTTAATTTCTGGAAGGTAATAAAGTGTTTGACATGTGACAGGAAATAGATACTTAATATATTGTACCGGTATCTTAAAACTGCACACATTCTGTAATGTACCTTACAACCTTAAGTATACTGTAGATGTTTACCTAATCAAAGTAAACTTGTAATGGTAACATAACAGTGGAGGTAAACTGAATACCTGTACAGATGGGAGGAAATCAGGTCTGATCCAAGAAAGGATTGTGTAGGTCTAATTTCTTTAATTAAGAACCCTTCACCAGCCCCTTACCTGCAGATCTTCGCGCCACAGCTCCTGCTGGTCAGGACGAATGTGGACAGCTCTAGAAAAAGTCTTGACTGCTGTGGCAACTTCACCTAAGCCCAGCTGTGCTCTTCCCAGTGTCTGCAAGCCTACCCACCAGTTTTGTGAGAGTCTCACAGCTTCTTCTGCTGACCTTAGAGCAGGAAACACCTCACCCACCTGTAAAAATTAGATAAGTTGAAAATACAGACATTCCGCGCTTTAAAATGGTTCAACTTATGATATTTCAACTTTTGTATCGTCATAAAGTCGAAATATTGTAGTTGTACAGTACTGTACATTGACTGATGAGATAAGCTTGTATTCATTTATTTACTTTTCAATAATGTTATTTAGTTAGTTACAGTAATTATCTGTTTATTTACTTATTCAGTGGCAGTAGTTATTTATTTACTTATCGTATTTTCATATTCGACTTACAATATTTTCAATTTATAATGGGTTCAATGGAACATAACCCCATCATAAATCGGGAAGCACCTGTACAGTACTTAATCAGAAGCATAAGGGCTTGGAGGGGATGAAAATTTTGAAATTCAGACAGCAGTTTAACCTGATAGTTAAAATAACTTTTGTATATCAGTAAGAAAGCATATATAGAAACCTCCTCTAGTGTAAGTAAGTTTATTTAGGTATACACAAATACAGTTACGTAGATTATCATACATAGCAGCATATGTGTAGAGAACCTAGGATAACCCCAAAAAATCAGACAAAGTGACTTATTTCAACTGGGGGTCCTTTTAATACCTTATTATTATACTGTAAAGGAGATATACTAGGAATAAGGTAAAATGACTTATTGATATTTACATGGGTGTTAAAAAAATTAAAAAATCATTCTCCTCCCTTCCTCTCGCTACATTCATTAGGCACCGTTTGGCTCTTTTCCTGAACTGGCTCATGCTATGACTGACTGACATGTGCAGGCAGTCTGTTTCATTCCCTTATTGCTGTACAATAAAAGGTGTTTGAAGCCTGGCCACTGACTGTGGGTACTACAAAGTTGTGATCTCTCCCCCTAGTACTATGAGTGCTTTGGTTCCCAGCCTTGACAAAATTGGCAGCAAGATATTCTGGACAGTTTGTAAGCAATTTTATAAACTTGAGTTAATTTCAGTTGTTTTACTCTGTCTTCAACATTCAGCATATCCAATTGTTGTAATTCATCCTGGCCTACATGCCCTCTTGGACCCAGGTCCAGGATGAATCTTACCATTTTGTTCTGGGTGATTTGTAGTCTATCTCTCAGTTTTTTTTCAAGGCAGAGTACCATGAAGAGCAAGCGTAGTCTATATGACATTGTATAAGAACCAGACAGGGTCCTGTGAGCCACAGTAGGTAGACACTGTGCTTGTCTGCAGAGGAACTTCAGTCTGGCATTCACTTTCTTTACTACACTGTTCCCTATTAATTCTCCTGACATTAACGGGTCAAAGGGGGATTCCCAGATATTTTACTGAGGTAACTAAAGTGATGGGTTCCCCATTACACTGGACATTAAAATTACAGTGGTCCCTCGATAATCGTCGGGCTCGATAGTCGTCCTTTTCGGAAATCGTCGCGTTATTTTCGTCCAAACATAGGCTTGCAAATGGTTGGTTGACTCGCTAATCGTCATTCGTCCTGGACGCGCACTCGCGGCTCTGAGCCGCCTCAGCCTCCCTTCCCAGCCAGTGTGCCATTGTTTACCAGTGAGCGACGGTCCCCTCACTTGTTCATACGAAATATTTCATAATACAGTGGAACCTCAAATATCGAACTTTCTTCGGTCCAGAAGGCTGTTTGAGTGCCTTTACCGAATGAATTTATTCCCATCAGGAATAATGTAAATTAGATTAGTCCATTTCAGACCCTCAAAAATACACTTATAAAAGCACTTACAAAAATACACTTACATAATTGGTCGTGTTGGGAGCAGTTCGATTTTTGAGGTTCCACTGTATTCCATTCATTTTAGTGCTTGCAAGTGCTAAATAGGCTACCATGGCTCCAAAGAAAGCTCCTAGTGCCAAGCCTTTGGTAAAGAAGGTGAGAAATATGATTGAATTTAAGAAAAACATCATTGAACAATATGAAAATGGCGTACGTGTGGCCGAACTGGCCAGGATGTATAACAAACCCCATACAACCATATCTTCCATCGTGGCAAAGAAAAAAGAAATCAAGGAAGCTGTTGTTGCTTGGAGAAAATTGTGGCCAGATTGTGTCCACAAGAGGGATTTTGAAGGGTTTGTGGCTGACCCTGATGAGCCTATGTCAGTTGTGAAATCTATTGTGGCACTGGGGAGTTCCATGGGGTTGGATGTGAGTTTGGAGGATGTGGAAGAGTTGATGGAGGACCACAAGGAAGAGCTAACCACTGAGGAGCTGCAGGAACAGCAACAGATCACAGCTCAGAATCTTGCTGTAGAAGAGAAGGAAGAGAGATGGAAGAGGGTGCCTTCTTCAGAAATTAAGGAGATTTTTGAAATGTGGGGTAGGATGGAAAGATTTATGGAGAAACATCACCCTGAGAAGGATGTTGCAAGCCATATCGGCAACTTGTACAGTGACAGAGTCTTGGCCCATTTTAGGGAAGTTTTAAAGAGACGCCAGAAACGGAGCTCTCTGGGCACTTTTTGCGGGACAGGACTCCAGTGACTCTCAAGCTGGTCCTGGTGGCATTAAGAAACAGAGAAGAGAAGTATGTAACCCCAGAAAAGGATTTGGTACCTGAGGTGTTGATGGAAGGGGATTCCCCTTCCAAACAGTAACTAATCCAATCTCTCTCCTCCTCCAGTCTTCCATACACTAAGAAGAATCGCCAATAAAGGTAAGTGTTATGCTGTTAATGTTTCATTCATCATGTCCCATTGTATTGTTTATGTACTACATCTATATTTCATGTAAAAGAATTTTTTGTTTTAATACTTCTGGGTGTCAGGAACAGATTAATTGTATTTACATTATTTCTCATGGGGAAAATTTATTCAAAAACCGTCTATTTCAATAATCGCCGCACTTCCAAGAACGGATTAACAATGATAAACAAGGGACCAATGTATTTGCCTTTCTCAGTTTATGTTTCATGCCAAAGAGTATGGCTTCCATTTTCCCGAGGTGTAACAATAGTTTGTCTACTACCCATTTGCTGCAGTGCTCCAGCTCTAGTGTTATTACATTAGCTATGTCTTGTGGGTCTTTACCCGACACTAACAGAGCACTGTCATCTGCATATAGTAGGAGTTTGCACTTGACACTGATGGGCATGTCGTTTACATAATATAGGAATAATGAGGGACCCAGAATACTACCTTGGGGAACTCCACGTGCTATCGGCAAAGGTTCTGATTCTGTTTTGTTGATTTTGACAATTTGTGCCCTGTTGCTAAGGTAGGACTTAAACCAGTCTGCAGAGCTTATGCTGATAGCATGAAGTTTCTCACATAATAAATTGTGGTTTAGTGTTGAAAGTTTTTTGCAAGTCCAAGGTTACCGTTCCTATGAGGTTCGCTATCGACATATCAATTCTCATGTAATCCATCAGATTAATTAGGGAGGTGTCGGCTGAGTAAGATCTCCTAAAGCCTGATTGGTAACTATGGAGAATGTTGTTGTCATTAAGATACTTTACTTGACAGTACACCGCCCTCTCTAGAATTTTGGATATTACACTGAGTATACTAACAGGCCTATAGTTGTTGACATCAGACCTACTATTTTTCTTGAAGATAGGAGTAACTCTGGCCTCCTTGAACCCCTCTGGTATAATATTAGTGGTGATGGACAAATTTATTATGTGAGCAATGAGGATTGGTAATTCAGAGGCACCATCTTTTAGGAACTTAGACAGGATGTTATCTGGGCCGGTGCTCTTAGTTGGGTTTAACCTAGTTAGTTTTTTTGCATGAAGTCATGAGATACACTTACTAGTTGATTCATCTGAGTCTTCAACTTCCAACTGTGACCCCCTTGTTAGTGTGTCCCATCTCTGGAACATCCTGTCTCTGTCCACCTTGTCAATTCCTGTCAGTATTTTATATGTTGTTATCATGTCCTCCCTTCTCTCCTGTCCTCCAGTGTCGTCAGGTCGATATCCCTCAGCCTCTCCCCATAGACCATGCCCCTTAGCTCTGAGACTAGTCATGTTGCAAATCTTTGCACTTTCTTTAATTTCCTTACATGCTTGGCAAGGTGTGGGTTCCAAACTGGTGCTGCATACTCCAATATATGCTTGACATACACGGTGTACTGAGTCCTGAACGATTCCTTATTGAGATGTCGGAATGCTATTCTTAGGTTTGCTAAGCACCCATATACTGCAGCAGTTATTTGGTTGATGTGCACCTCAGGAGATGTGCCTGGTGTTATACTCACCCCAAGATCCTTTTCCTTGAGTGAGGCTTGTAGTTTCTGGCCCCCTAGACTGTACTCCGTCTGTGGTCTTCTTTGCCCTTCCCCAATCTTCATGACTTTGCACTTGGTGGGGTTGAACTTCAGAAGCCAGTTTCCGGACCAGGCCTGCAGTCTGTTCAGATCTCTTTGTAGTTCCGCCTGGTCCTCCTCCTTCTCATCAACTTCACATCATCTGCAAACAAGGACACTTCAGAGTCTATTCCTTCCGTCATGTTAACATACACCAGAAACGGCACCGGCCTAGGACTGACCCCTGTGGAACCCCGCTCTTCACAGGTGCCCACTCTGACACCTTGTCACATACCATGACTTGTTGATGTCATCCCGACAGGTATTCCTTGATCCACTGCAATGCCTTCCCTGTTATACCTGTTTGGTCTTCCAGCTTATGTGAGTTTTTTTAAACCAATGTATTCATGGAAACAAACAAGTTGATAAAACTTATAATGCTGATAATATAAGTCTGTATTAAAGTTGCTTGACAAGCAATACCTTAGCAACTGAAGTTAACCTTTCTCACCACAGGGATCCCAATGCAAATAAGTCACTTTGATTTTTCTGGGTTATCCTAGATAATTTCACTATGTATTATAATTGTACTTATGTGTATCTGTGCCTAAATAAACTTACTTTTGAAGAATAAAAGTCACAGTACCATAACTTTAATAATTTCCATTTAACACTCAGTTTAAATACTAAAGTTCAGACGAGGATTTGGTCTATCCTGGACCATCGAAAATTTACCATACTCAAGATTTGATAATGGTCAAGGATGATTCACTCACTTGTATATAAGCTTGTGACATCATCTCGTGGATGGTGTGATCATCTGGTGTAAGAGCCAGCGCAGCGTTCCACCTGCCAATGGCTGCCCACCAGCGCTCAGCCTCAGCAAGTGTTACTCCCTCGTTGCTGAGTCTCCGAGCCTTCGTCTTGACGTCCTCTAACTGCAACCCCTGAAATGTAATCAAGCTACATGGTGGGTGACAATAAGCTTAAGCATCCATAAGAAACTATTCAAGAGAGTATTTCAGAGAAAGTAACAAGAAGAAATACTATACCACTGAGGCAGGGTGCCCTAAAAAGAAAAACGACTATTAAATGGTCCTACAACCTCTCTTTTGCAGTCGAGTTAATGTCACTTACAGTGCAGAAATGTTTACGACACTAAATTAACAAATGACGCTGATGAAAACATTTCAAGTTCGGAGAAGAGTTATATCTGTGACTAAGCATTTGCTTGCACATTAGTACTACAAGCTGGCAAAGTAGTTCATCTGATCAATGAAAAATTAGTCTCTACAGTAGTACAATACTTAAATCAAATCAATGCTGTTCATTTTTATATGAAAGGCCAAAATAATTTCAGAAGATGGCAAGATTAATCACACAACTTTCAGCAAGTACACCATTTTTCAAGAATGGGTATTGTGTACTACTGCAATAAGAACCACCTGAAGATGAGTCCCTCAAGGAAGACAGTGAAATATAGTTCAACATGTGAGGTTCTGATATACAGTGAGTCTCATAAACACTGATCATGGAGCAGGTAAATCCCATATGGATGAAACTAAAACATAAGAGTGGAAAGGGTCTGAATAGTTCTGTCCCAGTCAGAGACCTACTTAAGGACTCTCAGACCAAAATGTTAACATCTTTTCTGTGTTTTAGTTCTGATTAGGTGGGATTCAACTCTTCATAATTTTGCAAACTTTAGACATGCCAATTCTTTATTTTACACCAACTCTAACATAGTAACCTTGCTAAAATATATATATTATAAAATAATTTACAAACATTATATTTCAGTTCACAGTAGGATTCAAACCTACACATCTCCCCAATGAAAAGCAGGGGTGCCATGAGTATGCTATGTAAGAGACAACACAATAAGTATCAAGGGCCCAAGACTGTTCAATAGCCTCTCAGCATACAAAAGGGGGATTACCAATAGACCCCTGGCTGTCTTCAAGAGGGTGCTGGACAGGCATCTAAAGTCAGTACCTGACCAGCCGGGCTGTGGTTTGTACGTCAGTTTGTGTGCAGTCAACAGTAACAGCCTGGTTGATCAGGCCATGATCCACCATGAGGCCTGGTCATGGATTGAGCTGTAGGGTCATTGACCCCCGGAGCACCCTACAGGTATAATCTGGATGTGACTGCATCAAAGTACACAGTACTTTTGCCACTCAGACAGATCCCAGATCTGGGATCTGTTTGAGTGGCTTAAGTACTGTGTACAGTGGACCCCCGCATAACGATTACCTCCGAATGTGACCAATTATGTAAGTGTATTTATGTAAGTGCGTTTGTACGTGTATGTTTGGGGGTCTGAAATGGACTAATCTACTTCACAATATTTCTTATGGGAACAAATTCGGTCAGTACTGGCACCTGAACATACTTCTGGAGTGAAAAAATATCGTTAACCGGGGGTCCACTGTATTTTGATACAGTGTGTGTAGGCTCAAATCTTGATGTGGACTGAGAGATAATGTTTGTAAATAATTTTGCCAATTTGTGAATTGTTAACCATTATAAAATAATTTGCCTATTCTAAGAATTTGCATATTGAGTAACTATATTTCCTTGGTTTCCTCTGGAGAGTGCAAATATTATGGTGATCTTGAAAATAATATCAATACTGGAGCATTCTATAGCTAAAACTGCGTATTATACATGTATAAATTTTGTATTAGTCTTCCTTCTGCAAAGCTACAACACAACACTGGCATCTTGTCTTCTGGCACGTGATTATTTTGGTTTTTGCCAAAATTCCATTTTTTTTAGGGCGACCAGGCCGCTCTTGCAAATCATGCAAATCTGATGAGAGACGGATAGGTGTACTAGACTGCTTAGAACACACTTGCTATATCACTCAATTATGCCTGGGCAGCTAAACACACTCAAAATAATAAAATAAGAGAATTTTGGCAAATACTGGAAAAATCACATATCTGCATCTTGCAGCCTCAACACAACACTGGCATTTTGTCTCAAATTATTATTATTATATTTAGTACATATTAAAACCAAGCGCTAAACTCGTATGGGCCATATAGATCTTGTCTTGCAGCAGCCACTTCTAACATTGGCAAGCGTGCTACAACAGCTCCATTCTTACCTTTAGTTCGTGGGTTAATGCACAAGCCGGGTTCCCCATTTTTAAAACATTTACTGCTTGTGTTGCAGTATGTGTTGCTTACTAAGTGATCAGTGCCTGTGCTCTATTACTGTATCTGAACAACAGTGAATAAAAAAATTTTGTTAGCTGGTTTTAAGTATGTGCAAATTAAGGCATATTATTAGCTTTAATGACCTAATAAAGCCAAGGAAAGGCCTCAATCAATTGACCAAAAGCTACACCAAGTATATCAACATGTGATTAGAATCTGAATAAGCCAGTGTAAAAGATGTGGTGGTCAGAGGAAAACAAATCCAATTTAAAATATTTGTTGTGGCTCAGCTCAATTAATGTTGATCACTGTAGATACAATATTTATCTTCAGCATTCAAGATTATTATTAAAATAGTAGACTATTGTACTAACATATGGAGTCTTTCAACACTAAAAATCTTGTGATGTAATAGTTTTGAAAATTGACAAGTTAAAGAATGAGACACTTGTGCAAAATTTGGGAATCTTTACTGAGGAAACATATCATCAGCCAGTGGCTTCTTCAGTACAATACAGAGAGGAATGGTAGATGAGGATGAGGAGGAAAATGAGGTAATCAGTCCCCCAGCCTGGAGTCAATGTGTCCAGGCTGAGGGACTGATTACCTCAAACTCCTCCTCATATTTCACCGTTCTTCTCTGCACTGGACTGAGGAAGCCACTGGCTGGCGAAACATTTCCTCAATAAAGATTATCAAGTGTTGAACAAGTGTCTCACTCTTCAACTAAAAACTTGGACAGCAATCCACTTCCACAGTAAAACCCTGTTTAAAAAGCACAGTAGATTCAGCCAGGGACATGTACAACAAACATATTACAGCAGTTTGTTATAAAGTCTGTGTTTTACTGACTATAGTTACAGTTAGTTTATGCAAAAATTTTGAAATAAAGAGTAACAAAATAATGAATTTAGGATACCTGTTTTAGCCACCCTGAAGATTTTTAGATTTTGCCACCGAAGTGGCTAGTTTATTGTGCACCCCATATCCATCCTGTGGACGGTAGCGCGAGAGCATATGGATACACAAAAGGCCTAGGAACTAGGCCCCAAAGGGTTAACAGGAATACATATGGATTTATATCTACATATCTATAGTTCACTTATCTGTTACAAGCAAATTTAGGAAATTTGCTTAGTATATCTGGTATCTTATTTTCATTAATAAGATATCTTGACATGTCACATAGGTTATTATACTGTCTGTCTCTGTATTCCTCAATGAGTGGACAATTAAGCACATAGTGTTCAAGAGAGTGACCATATGCCTGATCACATAATTTACATTTAGTTTGATCATCATCTGTGTGTCTCCCAAACTGCCAGAAGTACTTGTAACCAAGCCTAAGCCTGGCCACTACAACATCAGTCAGTCTGTTCACATTGCAAGTTGCTCCATAAACATACTTATCTACGTTCATGTTATCATAGTGGGTTATAGATCTACTCAGGCTTCTAACTGCATTCCTATAACAATCATTTTCATTATTTACTTCTCTCCTAATATTATTCCTAATGCTAGACACAGTTATACCAAAGTTATATTCTACATTCTCCTTCTGGGTACTCTTCTTGGCTAACATATCAACTTTATCATGAAGGAGTAATCCAATGTGCGATGGGATCCATAGCAATTGTACATTAATTCCTTTGTCCCTAATTTTTGAGTATCTATACCTGGCTTCTCCAATGAGCATGTTGTTGGAGTCATTATATGAGTCAAGAGCCTTCAATGATGACATAGAATCAGTAATGATGACAGAGTCAAGCTCAGTGTCATAGGTTAGCTTTAGCGCCATTAGGATTGCAAACAATTCAGTTTGCAGTGTAGACGCCCAGTTGTTAATTCTTATGCCTAACTCAACAAATTTATTATCGTTCTTAACTAGGGAGGTGGCAACAAGAGCAGATGCAGCCCTGCCAGAAGACTCCTGTTTAGATCCATCAGTGTATATAACTTGTGATAACTTATTACTACCAGCTAGGTGAGAAATTTCTTCTTGAGCAGTTGCTCTAACAAGAGATTTAAGGAAGGGATTACTAGCAATGAGCTTCTTGGGAGGGACTTGTAGGTATGTGATATTAAATGAACACATCTTCCATGGAGGGGTGAAATGCTCTTGTTGCCTACAGTGATACAGTTCATGCAGGTTATAAAACTTAATGCAATTGCACGTTTTCAAAATCCATTTAGATCTGTGTGTATTTACCTCTAGACACTTGGTAAGATTCACTGTGACAGTGTCTGGTTCGTTTCTCAACATTCTAATACCGAGTACAGTGTTAATTTCAACAATCCCACCCTGAAGGTAATGCTCTGTCATTATTATTATTACTATTTTACTGAATTACATTTATGAAAAAGGAGCACTAAACCTGTGTGAGTCATTCATTGCTAAAATTTAGGTGTTAATTTTGCACATATCAACACCAAGCACCTGCATGACAACTAATGTTGGAGCAACACTAAAAAATATTCAACAATTTTTTTTAACACATTAACCATTTCTCACTGATGCGGGGAGACCCGAAAAAGAAGAAACACTTTCATTGTCACTTATTCCATCACTATCTAGCCAGAGGCATACTACAGTTCAAAAACTGATACATAATAAATAAAAAGTGGGAGAACAAAAATAATAAGAGCATATTTCTACAGATGCAGCCTCCACATCTCCTTATGATGCAGAATGATCTACATGGGTTTAGCACTTCAAATAATAATAATTATAGTAGTAATGATAATAATATTGATGTAAAGGATATTATTATAAAAAGTAAACAATTGCATTTTGTTGATAAATAGTTCAAAGAACTGACAAATTGATAAATTAGACATATGTACAACACTTGGGTATCTTTTGCACATGTGTCTCATTTTGTTATAAGACCAAATGCCACAATATATGATAAGAATTAAGTAATGAAATCTGAAGTTATAACTCAAATATTTTATTATAAACAGATGAACAACAAAAAACCTAAGTGAAAGTGATTCATGATGTTTCAACTTTGTGCATTACCCTAGATTAAATCAGCATTATTCCTGGAGGAATAATACCCTAAGAAAGGCAAGCAGTGTGACTTATTTACAATGTTACCCTCAGGCTCTTTCCCAGGATGTACATAACCTATAATACCTAAGTAACTGCAAGGTGTCTATTTACTGCTTGGTGAGCACTTCTATGCCCACTAGAAGCATTGTACAAATTTATAATGCTGTACTGTTTTTCAAATCACATGTATATTGTGTAAATAAATATTATTTTGTTGTATTTTACAATAAACTACAATCGTATAAAAGTTATACCTTGGACCGTTTTGTTGCTGTCAACCAGTCAACATCAGGATCCTTAGTATCGTCTTTACTTTCAGCATTGTCTCCAGAGAAGGCAGCAGGTCGAGGTTTGGATAACCCAGACTTCTTTCTTTTCCATCCAAACGCCTGCATCTGGAAAAAATATTTACAATAAATATGGTATGTTGTGGCCATGATTTTTTTTTTTTTTTTTTGAAAAGCATTACAATATGCCTAGAAGACTTTATCTGGATTATGAGTCATAATGGGCTAACAGCCAAAGATAGTACTGTTCATTTAGCGACCTCTCTTTTTTGTACATTTTAAAAACTCCTACTTAAAAACCCATATCTCGTTCTTAAGTAGTCTTTAAGCACTAGGATTAGTCTGCCCAAAATGTACTGCATGATAGTGGCTCTCTTTTATGCTTAACAATATTACATGTAAACTACATTATCTGTATACTACAGAAAAGAAATTAATACATTATTAATTATTATTATTCTTTAGAAAGTCAGTCAATGCAGCTAATTTCCATTGGAGTCCTCAGGTCCTTCCCAAGGATATTAAATATTATTATTATTTAGAAAGTCAGTCAATGCAGCTAATTTCCATTGGAGTCCTCAGGTCCTTCCCAAGGATATTAAATATTATTATTATTTAGAAAGTCAGTCAATGCAGCTAATTTCCATTGGAGTCCTCAGGTCCTTCCCAAGGATGACTCATAACAGTCACACAACACCCTTGTATATACTATTTACTTCTAGGTGAACAGAAGCAGCAGATGTTAGGAGATTTGCCCATATACCCCACCTTGCATATTATTATTATTAAAATCATGAGGGAAGTGCTAAACCCATAGGATTATACAGTGCCTGGGAAGGGGGGGGGATGTGGAAGGTACTTAGGTTTAATTCAGAGAACTGGAACCCACCTTGCATAGGATTGAACCTAGGTCCTTAGGCTATGAGATGAACACACTATCACTCCATTATTCCAGGATTAATGTTAAGTTTCTATATCTTAATTAATATTTTAGATGACATTACTCCCTGAAGATACATACAGTTTTTTTCCTGGTTTCAATACACCAGGAAAACTTCCTGCCAATTTTACTTCTTGTACACACTCAGGCTGTCACCTGAGAGAAGTTACCATTATCTCACCTCATAACATCCACACTTGTCTGAATTATTATGTTAGGGAAGTAAGCAAGTATATTTAGGTACAGGTATACATATGTACAATTATCATATATAGTTTAACAGAGGCAAAATAACCACAGTGAAAAAATAGTGAAATTCCAAGAGCTTTTGTGTGATTTCTCAATCAAGTGTTTTCATAATTTCTCACAATGTGAGAAATCATGAATTTTACAATTCTTCAATTTTTTCATTGTGGTTATTTTGCATACTGTGATATCACCTGTTTACTGTGCTCTTATTGCGTAGTTTACCTGGAGTTTACCTGGAGAGAGTTCCGGGGGTCAACGCCCCCGTGGCCCGGTCTGTGACCAGGCCTCCTGGTGGATCAGAGCCTGATCAACCAGGCTGTTGCTGCTGGTTGCACGCAAACCAACGTATGAGCCACAGCCCGGCTGGTCAGGAACCGACTTTAGGTGCTTGTCCAGTGCCAGCTTGAAGACTGCCAGGGGTCTGTTGGTAATCCCCCTTATGTATGCTGGGAGGCAGTTGAACAGTCTCGGGCCCCTGACACTTATTGTATGGTCTCTTAACGTGCTAGTGACACCCCTGCTTTTCATTGGGGGGATGTTGCATCGTCTGCCAAGTCTTTTGCTTTTGTAGTGAGTGATTTTCGTGTGCAAGTTCGGTACTAGTCCCTCAAGGATTTTCCAGGTGTATATAATCATGTATCTCTCCCGCCTGCATTCCAGCGAATACAGGTTTAGGAACCTCAAGCGCTCCCAGTAATTGAGGTGTTTTATCTCCGTTATGCGCACCGTGAAGGTTCTCTGTACATTTTCTAGGTCAGTAATTTCACCTGCCTTGAATGGTGCTGTTAGTGTGCAGCAATATTCCAGCCTAGATAGAACAAGTGACCTGAAGAGTGTCATCATGGGCTTGGCCTCCCTAGTTTTGAAGGTTCTCATTATCCATCCTGTCAGTTTTCTAGCAGATGCGATTGATAAAATGTTATGGTCCTTGAAGGTGAGATCCTCCGACATGATCACTCCCAGGTCTTTGACGTTGGTGTTTCGCTCTATTTTGTGGCCAGAATTTGTTTTGTACTCTGATGAAGATTTAATTTCCTCGTGTTTACCATATCTGAGTAATTGAAATTTCTCATCGTTGAACTTCATATTGTTTAACATATATATAAAATTCCCACCAGGATAATCCCCAGAAAAGACAAAGTCACTTATTTCCTCAATGGTAATACAAGGACCCCACTGGAAATACAAGGACTCCAATGGAAATGCAAGGAACCCAATAGGAACATAAGAAAGAACACTGCAGCAGGCTAACTGGCCCATGCGAGGCAATAGAAACAAGTCACTTTGTTTGACATTTTTTGGCCAGACAAAGTAATTTACACTACGTATGATAATTGTATTTATGTGTAGCTGTAGCTAAATACACCGGCACCCTTGAAGGAACAATGACGCAGGACGTCACTATCACCTCACCACACAGTCACCACACTCATAACCATATTCTCACAGCTTTACAGTAAATATGTATGGAGATTCACACTGGAAATGAACCCAAAAAAGGGGGGAGGAGGACCGTGAGTCATACCTAAAATTCCTCAGTGGTGAGTGTGGCCGCCCGCAGAGTGCTATATAAAACTTGGTTCCCTCAGTGGTGGTGTTGTGTAGCTGGCAGCCACTGTGGTAAACATATTACCGTACGTTGATGTACGACTTCGTACACTGCAATCGTCTTGTTGTGTTTTATCTTGTCGTGCTGCTACTGCTGCCTCTTGTGCTGTTGCCTCTCGTCATGCTACTGCTGCCTCTTGTGCTGCTGCTGTTGCCTCTTGTCATGCTACTGCTGCCTCTTGTCGTGCTGCTGTCTCTTGTCATGTTACTGCTGCCTCTTGTGCTACTGCTGCCTCTTGTCATGCTGCTGCCTCGTATCATGATACTGCTGCCTCTTGTCATGCTGCTGCCTTTTGTCATGCTACTGCTGCCTCTTGTGCTGTTGCCTCTCGTCATGCTGCTGCTGCTGTTGCCTCTCGTCATGCTGCTGCTGCTGTTGCCTCTTATCATGCTACTGCTGCCTCTTGTCGTGCTGCTGCCTCTTGTGCTGTTGCCTCTCGTCATGCTACTGCTACCTCTTGTGCTGCTGCTGTTGACTCTTGTCATGCTATTGCTGTCTCTTGTCATGCTACTGCTGCCTCTTGTGCTGCTGTCTCTTGTCATGTTACTGCTGCCTCTTGTGCTACTGCTGCCTCTTGTGATGCTGCTGCCTCGTATCATGCTACTGCTGCCTCTTGTCATGCTGCTGCCTCTTGTCATGCTTCTGCCTCTTGTCATGCTTCTGCTGCCTCTTGTGCTGCTGCCTCTTGTCATGCTACTGCTGCCTCTTGCTGTGTTGCCGCTGTTGCCTCTCGTCATGCTACTGCTGCCTCTTTTCGTGCTTAGTTTAATGTTTATTATGCACCCCATACCCATCCTGTGGGCGGTAGCTGCTGCCTCTTATCATGCTACTGCTGCCTCTTGTCGTGCTGCTGCCTCTCTATCTTGATGTGCTGCTGACTAGTAAGTAAGTAAGTAAATTTATTCAGGTATACACAAATACAGTTACATAGAATTATCGTACATAGCAGCATATGTGTAGAGAACCTAGGATAACCCAAAAAAGTCAGACAGAGTGACTTATTTCCATTGGGGTCCTTTTACCTTATTATTATAATATAAAGGTTATAATACTTTCTTATTATTCTCTAATGAAGATAACATCTTATTATCATACTAAAAAGACTATCTACTACACGAGGGTCATTAAGACTATCTATAATACGAGGGTCATTACTAGGAATAAGGTAAAATTTACACGTACGTTAGCTAAAAAACAAGAAAATCATTCCCCTCCCTTTCTGTAGCTACATTCATCAGACACCTTTTGGCACTCTTCTTGAACTGGTTCATGCTATGACTGGCTTTGACATGTGCGGGCAGTCTGTTCCATTCCTTTATTGCTGTACAATAAAAGGTGTTTGAAGCCTGGCCAGTGACTGTGGGTACTACAAAGTTGTGCTCTCTCCCCCTAGTACTATGATTGCTTTGGTTCCCAACCTTGACAAAACTGACAGCAAGATATTCTGGACATTGTTTGTGAGCAATTTTATAAACATGATTTAGCTTCAGTTGTTTACTCTGTCTTCAACATTCAGCATATCCAACTGCTGTAATTCATTCTGGCCTACATGTTCTCTTGGTCCCAGCCCTAGGATGAATCTTACGATTTTGTTCTGGGTGATTTGCAGTCTATCAGTTTTTTTGTCAAGGCAGAGTACCATGAAGAGCAAGCGTAATCCATATGGCATTGTATAAGGGCTAGACATAGGGTCCTGCGAACCTCAGTAGGTAGACACTGTGCTTGTCTATACAGGAAAATCAGTCTGGCGTTCGCTTTCTTTACTACACTGTTCCCTATCAATTCTCCTGACATGCATGAGTCAAAGGGGATTCCCAGATATTTTACTGATGAAACCAAAGTGATGGGCTCCCCATTACACTGGACATTAAAATTAATAACCCTTCTCAGTTTATGTTTCGTGCCAAAGAGAATGGCTTCAGTTTTCCCGAGGTGTAATGATAGTTTGTTGTCTACTAACCATTTGCTGCAGGACTCCAGTTCCTGTGTTAAAACACTAGCTATCTCTTGTGGGTCTTTACCTGACACTAACAGAGCACTGTCATCTGCATACAGTAGGAGTTTGCACTTGACACTGATAGGCATGTCACTGACATAACATAAGAATAATAAGGGACCCAGAATACTACATTGGGGAACTCCACATGCTATTGGCAGGGGTTCTGATTCCGTTTTGTTGATTTTGAAAATTTGTCTCCTGTTGCTAAGCTAGGACTTAAACCAGTGCTGTTGCCTCTCTATCTTGTCGTGCTGATTCCTCTATCTTGTGCTGTTGTTGCCTCTATCTTGTGCTGCTGCTGCCTCTAGTCATGCTGCTCCCTCTTATCTTATCATGCTTCTTCTATCTTGTGCTGCTGTTGCCTCAGTCTTGTCGTGCTGCTGCTGCCTCTCCATCTTGTCATGCTGCTGCCTCTATCTTGTCGTGCTGCTTCCTCTATCAATGTGCTGTTGTTGCCTTTATCTTGTGCTGCTGTTGCCTCTCAATCTTGTCGTGCTGCTGCTGCTGCTTCTCTATCTTGTCATGCTGGTGCCTTTTATCTTGTCCTGCTGCTTCTGTCTTGTGCTGTTGTTGCCTCTCAGTCTTGTCGTGCTGCTGCTGCCTCTCCATCTTGTCATGCTGCTGCCTCTTGTCCTGCTGCTTCCTCTGTCTTGTGCTGCTGTTGCCTCTCTATCTTGTCGTGCTGCTGCCTTTATTTTGTGTTGTTGCCTCTCTGTCTTGTCTTTCTGCTGACTTTCTGTCTTGTCTTTCTGCTGGCTTTCTGTCTTGTCTTTCTGCTGGCTTTCTGTCTTGTCTTTCTGCTGGCTTTCTGTCTTGTGCTACTGCCTCTCTCTCTTATGTTGCTGCCTCTATCTTGTGCTGCCCTTTTATTTTGTGGTGGTGGTGCTGCCTCTCGCTCTTGTCGTGCACAGGCAGCCATGGTAAACAAAGTACCGTACGGAGCTGTACGCCTTCTTAAACTGCAGTACTATTGTTGTGCTTTTTCTTATCGTGCTGCTTCCTCTCTATCTTGCCGAGTTAATAAGTTCATTTAGGTACAGGTTCACATAAGTTCAATTATCATACATGGTAACACATGTGTAACTTATCTAAGATGATCCTCAATAAAGTCAAAGTGCCTCTACTGGGATCCCTTTGTCCTGTATCATGTAGTGGTTTAGCTTAAGTAAGTAAGTTTATTCAGGTATACACAAATACAGTTACATAGAATTATCATACATAGCAGCATATGTGTAGAGAACCTCATTCATATTCTGGCTAGCAGTAATGTAAAGTCATTTGTGTTGAGCAGGATTTTTTATATTGACGTTGTTGTTTGTAGTTGTATGAAGTTAGTGGTGTATCGTGCAGCTGGCAGCCTCTCAGGTAAACAAGCTATCATACGCATCACCTTGGTCTACCTGCCTTCACGCATTCTAACACTGCAACACTGTTGTTGTGCAATATCTTGTCGTTCTTGGCATACGCAGCAACACTGTCAAATACAGTACAAATACAAATCTTTCTTTCTAAATTATTGTATTTAAGAAACATACAGTAATCTTATTAATAGATCTAATTTACAAAATAATTTAAAAAAAGTAAGTGACTATTTCTAACAGGGTGAATGACACTAGTTAATTAAAGTGCAATACTGAGAAAGAAAGATTTCAAAATGTAATAAAGTTAAGATAAGTCACTTTGACTATTTTTGGGTTATCCGGATCAACACCATGCCTAACCCTTCTAGGGTAGGGTAGGTGCCTGAGCCCGAGCCTTTAGCTCATAAGACTGTCATTCCCATTTGCCCCCATGGGGCGGGGATGGCAGACCAGAGAGGCCTAGCTTGTGGCTAGGCCTGGGGACAGTTGGTCCCAAAGATGAGGAGGTACTTGTGCCTCCTCCCATGGGAGACTTAGGTCTCAGACACTCCCTAAAGAGGGAGCCAAGGTCGGGCCACCACTTGGAAAAGGCCCGGGCCGGGAGAATACCGGCTAATCTTTAATAATAATAATAATAATTGGGTTATCCTGGTGGGTAATTTACACTATATATGGTAATTGTACTTGTGTACCTCTGCCTAAATAATCTTACTTAATGAACTCTTGTAAAAAAATATGCTGATTTACCTGGAGAGAGTTCTGGGGGTCAACGCCCCCGCGGCCCGGTCTGTGACCAGGCCTCCTGGTGGATCAGAGCCTGATCAACCAGGCTGTTGCTGCTGGCTGCACGCAAACCAACGTACGAGCCACAGCCCGGCTGGTCAGGAACCGACTTTAGGTGCTTGTCCAGTGCCAGCTTGAAGACTGCCAGGGGTCTGTTGGTAATCTCCCTTATGTATGCTGGGAGGCAGTTGAACAGTCTCGGGCCCCTGACACTTATTGTATGGTCTCTTAACGTGCTAGTGACACCCCTGCTTTTCATTGGGGGGATGTTGCATCGTCTGCCAAGTCTTTTGCTTTCGTAGTGAGTGATTTTCGTGTGCAAGTTCGGTACTAGTCCCTCTAGGATTTTCCAGGTGTATATAATCATGTATCTCTCCTGCCTGCGTTCCAGGGAATACAGGTTTAGGAACCTCAAGCGCTCCTAGTAATTGATGTGTTTTATCTCGGTTATGCGCACCGTGAAGGTTCTCTGTACATTTTCTAGGTCGGCAATTTCACCTGCCTTGAAAGGTGCTGTTAGTGTGCAGCAGTATTCCAGCCTAGATAGAATAAGTGACTTGAAGAGTGTCATCATGGGCTTGGCCTCCCTAGTTCTGAAGGTTCTCATTATCCATCCTGTCATTTTTCTAGCAGATGCGATTGATACAATGTTATGGTCCTTGAAGGTGAGATCCTCCAACATGATCACTCCCAGGTCTTTGACGTTGGTGTTTCGCTCTATTTTGTGGCCAGAATTTGTTTTGTACTCTGATGAAGATTTAATTTCCTCGTGTTTACCATATCTGAGTAATTGAAATTTCTCATCGTTGAACTTCATATTGTTTTCTGCAGCCCACTGAAAGATTTGGTTGATGTCTGCCTGGAGCCTTGCAGTGTCTGCAATGGAAGACACTGTCATGCAGATTCGGGTGTCATCTGCAAAGGAAGAC